CTACCCACCATACTACCACACGGCCACCGGGCTCTTCGACCCAGACCCCAACGACAGCGACACCTCGTCGACGCTCTCCTTCCCCAGCACCAGCAGCTACGGGAACACCTCGACCGCGACGCGCGACACGCCGCCGCCGCCGTACTCGCCTAGGAGTCTGGGGATGTCGTCGCGGACGATGTCGCCTGTGCCGTCGTTGATGTCGGATTCCGGGAGGAGTAGTAGTAGTGGGAGTAGTAGGAGTAGCCGGGGAAGTGGTGGTGGTGGTGGGTTAGGCAGAGGGTCTGAGGAGATGGTGCAGATTGCGGCGCCGAGGGCGGTGGTGGTTTGGGAGTCGGCGCGGGGGAGGGGGAGGGAGAGGGAGAGGGGGTGGGGGGATTTATATGATTGATTGAGTGGGGTTATTGGGTATGGGTTTGGGAATGGGTTTGGGGGTTCAGGGGGGGGACAGTGGGTAATGGGATGGTTTGGTGTTGTTGGGTTGATTTGTGATGCATGGTGAGTCCGAGTTGAGCATGAGAGATGCGTTTGTATATCAGGGAAGCAAGCATGCCTCTTTAATATATGACTGATTAATCTCAGGTCGAACTACTAATGATGGAGTGCATGCGGTATAGCTTCAATATAACATCGGATAACTATTTTCAGGATTACCAACAATTATTTCAGTTTACACAATCACCGCTATAAACGACAACCCTATATCCCTCTTTATCCCTGCACCCCTGCTCTCCCTTTCCCCACCACAACCTCTGCTTAATCACTGATACCTAACCACCAACTTCTCACCACTCACAATCTCCGGCACCGCCTGCACACTCGAGCTATACGTATCCTGAACGGCATACAGCGCCGCCCCATCCTCAAGACCATAGCTCTCCCCATCCGCCGTCTCGGCCACACAGCCCGTGAACACGGCATCCTCAAAGCCCACGAGCGTCAACCCGTCCCCATCCACCGCCAGATCCTCGACGATCCACTCGGCATTCTGCCCCTCGAGCTTGGCACTGTCACTCGGCGCCGTCGCGTGCATCGTCAGCTTCTTGCCGGTGGTCCGGTTCTCGATCACCGCCGTGCCCGCCGTGCTGCTCGTCGCCTCGACCGAGGCGAACACCACATCCCCGATCGCGAAGTCCATCTCCACGTCCACCGAGTTGGCCGGGTACCACTCGTACCACGCCGCGAACGAGGTCTCGTTCCGGCTGTCCACGTAGATGTCCACCCCCGTCTGCCAGATCGAGTTACCCGCCGTCGCCCCGTCGATCCCCACCCAGAACGAGACCGCCTGCGTGTCCGCGCTGCTGGCCGCCGCCGTCGGCGTCACCGCCGGCAGCGTGAACGTCGCCGCCACGTACGTGTACGTCGCGCTGGACGCCGGCGCCGATTCCAGCACCGCGCCCGCCCAGTTCTCGTTGATCTGGTAGTTGGTCGCCGTGCTGGTGCTGGCGCGGTGGTCCACGCTCGCGGTGGTGGTGGGCGCCGCCACGCTGGGGTTGGTGTAGTGGTAGCTCGTTGGGGCGGCCGTTTGGGTCGGTTGTTGTTGGTGACTGCTGCTGTTGCAGTCGGTGCTGGCGCTCGCGCTTGCGCTGGGAGCAGATGCGGCGCCCCAGTTGACCGAGGGCTGCCACTGCCCCTGCCCCTGCCCCTGCCCCTGGCCTTGGTTTCGGCCGCCGCTGGTGAAGCCGTTCACTGCTGCTGCTGCGCCGTCGCCGTCGGGGACGCCGCTGCCGAATTGGCGGCGCTGCTGGCGGGCCTCGTGGGGCGCGGCTAGAGCGGTGCCTGCGGCCAGAAGAGCGCTGACTGCCAGGGAGGTGGTGAGCTTCATTGTCGGTACTGATGCTTTCAGGTAATGTCAAATGAAGGTAGCAAAAAAGAACAAAGTTAAAGAATGTATGTGCCCCCAAGAGGTGGAGTAGTCTAGATAGAGAACGGAAACGAGCACAGCTCTAATGAAAAGGAAGGGAAAGGTACGTAGCACCTCAGATCACAGATCTTGGTTGATAAAGACCAGAAAAACATGGCGATGGTGCGGGCGTGGCAGACCCTGCAAGTTATATGGCTATTGCCTGAGTCCAGTCACTTAGGGCTCGGTTTGGGATTGATTGCGCCCGGATTCCGGATGAAACCCGTTAGTGGCTCCGGGTGGAGTGGCGCTGCCCCGTCGGGCGTTTGGGACTCGATCACCTTCATTTCGGGGATGGGGAGGGAGTGGGGTCTTGGTTTTTGCGTCGGAGGGGGTCTTGGATAGGGGGGATGGGTTGGGCGTTTGGGAGGTGGTGAGGGTGGTTGTTGTTGATGGTGGTGGTGGTGGTGGTGGTGGTGAGAAAATGCTGTACTATGCTTCGTACTCTATCCGGGTCATAGGCAGTCCACTTCATGAGGGCCATTAGGAGCTACTGAATCTGTTCATTACCATAGTGGAAGCTCGGGAGAGTCCCACGACGATGAAGTCTCGCCGTCCACAAATCCATGCCTCCTCCATATATTCATGTTGTTCACCGTGGCAAGGGCAAAGGGGCAGTCTAGATTTCACGTAGTGGCCCAAAGGGTTAGTCGAGACATCCAGACTTAAGCATATTTCAACATCCCAATCAGGAAATCCACGGCCGAGACATTTCCAACAGATAGATTGAGGGGTGTCGCCTCAAGCATGATGCCACCACCAGCGTCAATCTCCGGATATAATGATCGTCCATTGTCATCAAGGCTGTCTCGGTACCTCTCCGCAACCGCCTAGTCTACAGTGCATTATTTGTTGATCTACTTTACTCAACTCTTTCCTCCACGATCATAAATTGAAATAGCTTAAAAATAGCACCATCTCAACAATCTAAGCCGGCTAGACTTTTTGTATATCCACAACTCCAATATGTACAAGAAGTCAAGAAACTAACCTGCAAGTCTATACACCTCTATCGTCCTCTAATTCACCATGTTCGGGCACTCCCCCTGCGCCCGCTTGAACGCTCCCGCAAACAGATCCTGCATCGCCAGGTAATGGAACAGAATCCCGCCCAGCACAGCAAGGTGCCAGATGTTGTGGCTGCCACCCACATAGTCGAACAGTCCGGGCCGCCACCGCTCCGGCACCTGAGACGCATACACACACGCCCCCACGAAATACACCAGGACACTCTTCACCACCGGCGCATAGAAGTACAGACACCAGAAGAAGCCCCTGGTGTAGGTCAGCTGCGCCAGCGGGGCGAACCCGGTCAGAGCCAGCGACACATAGAAAGCCACCCGTGCCCACGCCATGTCCGCCCGGTTGAAGGTGGGGTGCCATGGCAGGATCACTCCGCCGATACCCAGAGACATCGTCAGCAGGATGTAGATCCACCGCGACACTGGCTCGCAGTAGAAGGCGGTGTACTCGGTCGTCACAATCGAGGCCGCGACCAGCATCGAGATACCCGTATAGTCCACGCACGCGAACCGCTCCATTAGTGTCTGGCTGGCAATGCTGTTCATCGTGTGCCACAAGGTGCTGCATACCAGGCACTTGCACGCCGCGAAAAAGAAGACTGCGGCCACTAGCACATCCGTCTTAGTGCTTAGGTGGAAGTTGGGGTTCAGCGGGTAGAAGTAGAAAGCCACAGAGAGCACGATGAACAACCCGATCAGATGCGACCAGATGTTGACAAGTTCGTTGGAGAAGGTGAACATGGAGGCCAAGCACTCCACCTTCGAGTGCGTGAACCGGTATCCCTCAAGAATGTGGGGGTTCACCCGCCACGGCTGCGGAAGGTCCGCATAGCCGATCAACCGCTTTTCCTGGGCCAGCAGGATCGCCCGGTCAATGTTCTCCTTCATTGCCTCCTTGGCCCGACGCGCTCGCTCCATGCCCTCGTCGACCACCTCCCGGGCATGCACCAAGCTGGAGTCCATCGCCTTCCACGCCCCATCCAACGCGCCGTCTAACCCGCGGTCCCACCCGGCGTGAGCACGAGACTCCAGCTCGACGAGAAAAGATTCCATGAGGCGGACACCGGCTTGGGCTTTCTGTTCTAATGTTTCCTTTGTGGCGAGAGCATCCTTATAACGGTCCTCCAAGGTGTCCACCAGGATCTTGGCGCGCTTCTTGCCGCTGCCCATGAGCTCTCCGGAAGCGTGAGAGCACGAGTCCCGCACGGCCTCCAAGGTGGCGTAGCCGCGACGGAGGCTGGCATCAATCTGGTCCATGTGAGATTTGCCATATTGCTCAATCCACAGCATTCGTCGCTCCAGCTCCGTCAGGAAAAGTTCAACCTAGACCCCGTCAGATAAAATCCCATGCACCAGAAGAAGATTCGGCGAGGGCATACTCTCAGAAACACCGCATCTGCGTCATAATCTAAGGACAGCTTCCGAGCCGTGTGGAACGAGTGACGGCGCCGACGGTCGCGGAGTAAGCTGGTCTCCTCGGAGGGGGTTGTGGAATAAGCGGATGTGTTTGCCTCGGGATACGACTCGATGGTCATGGATTGCGCAGAGCAAGCCATGGTGTTCCGTATACCGTTCCAACCGTCAATTAGATCCGTAGCTAGTTGAGAAGATCGAATCGCATATCCTGGAGGGAACAAAGAAATAACAAGGGGAAAAGTCAGTGAGGGAGAAGACCAAGGTTGGGGGTGGAGATCGGGACGATCGGGAATCGGCGGGACGACCGAAGCAGAACATACAGCTGCAAGTTGGACAAACTAGAGAAATTCGGGTGGCTGCAAGGGACAAGCGCCTAGGTGAGTTGAGTGGAGAGGAGGAAAAGGGAAAGAGAAAAACAGAAAAGTAATGATAATGACCCTAAAAGAAAAGGAGAGACACCTCTTAGGAGGAGAGGGAATTAGGTATTTAGGGGAACGATCAGAGGAGAGAAAGAGAAGAGAAGAGGAGAAGAAGGGGAAGAAGAAGAAGAAGCAGAAGAAGTTGTTAGTAGAAGAGGGGAACCCGAACGATATTAATCCCATCAATAATAACTTACTCTCTTTTTCCCCTCCCCGCCAACCCTTCAATTACTACTCAAGTACTTGGTTCCCTTACTTGGCAAATGTCCACTTTTTAAGGCTGAACTGCTAAGAACTACTCCGTATCCTTGTTCATCCAAGGATTGGTTCTTCTATTCGCCGCCTTCCTGCTGTCAGTCTTCAACTTCAGCCCATCAGCGCCCGGCTTGCCTCCACGTTGGGTCATTCTTATCGCTCTCGCCACCAGCCACCCTTCAACGAACCACCCACCGTACTTCGCTTCCTGCAGTGGCAGCCAGCTGTTCCTTTCACCTGACGCACAGCAATTCCCTCACCATGGCCATTCGGGACATTGTCGTCAACCCGTCCCTGCTGCCGGTGCTCAATTTGAGCGCCGAAACCCGCGACCAATGCATGCAATTGCTCGCCGTGCTCGACCCGTCGGCTGACTCCTACTCTGACTCCGAAGAACGCGCCCTAGCTGCATCCAAGGAACAGAAGCAGCTGTTTGCTCTCCTGGCTCGTCTGCGCGGGCTCAACCGCGATGCTATTCTACGCGTCCGAGAGACGAAGCAGGCGACCGCAGAGGCCCGCCAGGAAATCGACCGTTTACACCTGCAACTTCAGAATCTCTACTACGAACAACGGCACCTGACGGGGGAAATCGCTGCGTGCGAGTCTTATGAGTATGTCCCGGCGTAGCCACCAAAAGAACTCGCCGAATGCTGACCTCACTGTCGCAGTCACAAATACCTTGCCCTTCCATTGATCCCGCTCGAAGAATTCCTAGCGTTGCACCCCGAGCATCGTGAATCGGACGAACACGATCTCATGATCGCTCGCATCAACCACGAACATGCCGAACGGGAGAAGCTGGAGCAGGCGCGACAAGAGCTTCTGAAGCGGAAACAGGCCTTGATTGCGGAAAACAACAAACGCAAGGAGGATCTGGCCAGTCTGGACCAGGATTTGGAGCGCTTTATCGACGTAAGTCTCTGTCCTAGTGAGTTTCGGACGATGTTGCTAACCCCTGGCAGGCCGCCAAGCCCATTCAGAAGATCTTCGAAAAGGAGTATTAGCGGTGGGGTTATTGTCTTGTAGTTTCTTGCATGGATTGGCGCATTGGATAGATACCCAATATGATTTGATTTGAACCAAACAAGATCTCCTAGTATGTAGCCATGCGTTTCGTGGTGGACGTGTTACATTGTATTCCTTGCGACCGCCGCCAACTGGTGGCCTCCTCTCCGCCTTCCTCCCGCCTCTCCGCAACTCCAGCTTGCAATCAACTCCAACAACTCCAACTCCCCTCCCACTCTCTCCCATCTGGTCCTGTACCAGGCTACGTCGCCCTCGTCAAAGCATGTCCTGGTCATGATCGCCAAGAATGAAGACCTGTCGTCATCACAGACCGTTGATCCCCACCCCGATTATACCATGACCGTCAGCACCCCCTCGCCGCGTCCGCCGCCCCCGGAGAAGCCAGAGGCTATCCGGACGCGATTCAAGGTCATTGCAGCCTTCTGGGCGGTGATTATTTTGCTGGGATTCCCGATCTGGTGGAAGACCACATCGATCTATCGAGCTTCCTTGCCTATCCCGGAAATGATTGATTGGGCCGATGGAAAGGTATGTAATTCCTGGCCGTTGAGGTGCATAACCTGGCTGACTGGTGTCTCTTCGAATCTAGACCTGTCGTCCTGTTTTCCCGCTTGAAATCCGAGTCGAGACGCCTCACCTACCTGACGCAGAGGCCCAGCACTTGCTCCGGACGACACAACATACCCTCGATGATTTAAATGAATTCTCCGCACATCATCTGCGGCTGAAGCTATCGAACGATAATGTTGACGAGCCACTGAATGAACCGGCAGACACGGCCTTGACAGTGCGCCTCTTACCACAAGACGACCTAATCAACCCCAAGTCCGAACTCCAGCACGATACCACCCAGCTCGACGTCTTTTACTCACCAAACCAAATACCGCCCCTTTCATCATCCAACCCACCGTTGTCCGCTTACATTGCGGGTGAACTTCAGCAGCTATTCACAGAAGAGAAAGCCATCATTGCGCAAATCCTGTCGAACAGCCATGCATCAAGTGCGGCAGCCACCAGTCAGCCGTCCTCGACTATGCTTTCCTCGGTCTCTCCTCAGCTCGCGGACAGTATTGCCAAGCGCCAACGACGCTCGATGAAATACGCTGATACCTATCACCTCGCCTTTTCCTTGTTCACTCCCGGCACAGAGCCCTCCTCGTGGGACATTCAGGCCGCTGTCCACGACTATATCACCCCACTGCTGCAGGCCTTCTCTCCAATCAGCAATTTTACCGTCGACACCCAAGTTCAGCTATACGCGACTTTCGCACCCACAGCTCCGGCACCCGAATACGACGAAAGCCACGGAGCTTGGACCCTGAAGCCCGAAGACCTCAGCGCGTTCATCAACGCGGCCGAATGGCCTCTCAGCCCCAGCATCGGCCCAGGCCCCACCATCAATTTTATTCTTTATGTGCCTGATGCAGCGCAATCCCCCTTGGTGGTCAAGGACAGTCTGGCGACGAGCTGGGTCGTGCCTCAATGGGGTGGTGTGGTCCTTCTCAACCCCGCGAACGGCGCCCAGCTTCAGCATTTATCGGGCGATGCGCTTCAGGCCCCGTTTCTGACCTTTTCCCACCAACTCCTCACTCTTCTCGGCGCCCCTTCCACCCCGGCTGCGCTGCCTTTCCGACTGCAGACACTCACCCGCATTCGGGCCGCGAGTCTGCTCCTCTCTGCATCCTCTACCATGGGCTCCCTCGCCCGTCTCACCGAGTCACTTCCCTCCATCCCCATCCCTGCTACCGTGGCTGCCTCCGTGGCGACGACACTCTCGCATCTGACCTCGACCTGTGAGCATCTCCGACGGGGACGATTCCAGGCCGCGCTAGCGGATGCACGAATCGCCGAGACGGAAGCGGAGCGCAGCTTCTTCGAGAAGAGCATGGTCGGCCAAATGTACTTCCCGGATGAGCACAAGGTGGCCGTGTACCTGCCTCTACTAGGCCCCATTGGCGTTCCCCTCATTGTCGGCTTGCTAAAGGAGGTCAAAAAGGCCATCGCCTTGCGGAAGGCTAGGAAGGCTACCTGAATCATGCATACCTGTACAGTATATAGTTTTATTCAATCGTTTTTTTTCTTTCGGTTTGAGCACAATGTACCAACATAGAAGCAAGACTTCGCTAAGAACATACAACCAGGATCATTAAGATTAAGTTATGCAAGAGGCAGAACCATGCAACAACGCATACCCGTCCTAAGACAGGCCAAAGGCCAAAACCCAAACATGAAAAAAGAAAAACGCTATACTCAAATACCACCACAAAATCAACAGTATACATACATACACTGAATCATACAGCCATGAAATCATCTACCTCCGCTGCGACCCCAACCTCGAACTCCCTCTACTCAACCCACCGCCACCACCACCCGAGCCCTCCGGGTCCTCCGAAAACGCCTCCATGGCCCTGGGATTCGTCGGATACGCGTCCGGCTTCAGGACCCCTGTGGTCGCAAACACGCCCGGCGGCGTATACACCCGAATACTCTCCGTCCGGGGCAACGCCGGGATCACCGGCGGCGAGCTGTAGGTCGCCACGCCGCCTTTCCCGTCCTGCTGGGTCTGCTTCACCACGAGATTCCCGTTGATGTTGAGCGGCAGCGGCGGCACCGGCACGGGGACTCGGCTCCCTCCGCCTCTCTCGGGCACCAGCGCCGTCTCGACGCCGGCACCACCGCCCACCCCCCTCGCGGTGGTGCCCTCCCGCTGGTACACGGGGTTGTGGGGGTTGAACAGACTCCGGACCCGGCCGCCGGTCTTCTGGATCATGGAGCGGGATCGGGACCGCGACCGCGACCGGGAGCCGGTGGTTGTGGCCTTCGAGGTTCGGGATTGCGTCCGCCGGAGGAGGAAGTCGGTGCGGTAGGCTGTCTCCTCTGAGGGCATGGGCGAGGAGATCCCGATGAGGGTGCCCTTGGAGGAGCGGTGGGTGAATTGGGCGATCTTGGCGGACGGGGGCAGGTTCTTGCGGCAGTGGTGGCGGTACAGGAGGAGGGAGAGGAGGGTGGCCGTTACGCCGAGGAGGGCGCCGGGGAAGAAGCCGGCCAGGACGGCTGCTGTGGGGTACTGTGGGCATTTTAGCTGTGTTGCTGTTGCGCTGGTGGTGGTGTTGGTGTTGGTGTTGTCTGCGGCTGAGGAGGTGGAGACGCGGGGGTCTGTGGCGGAGATGGCGGTTGCGAGGGAGGATGAGGAGGAGGAGGATGTGGTGGAGGAGGTGGTTGAGGAGGTAGCGCTGGATGCTGCTGCGGTGGATGCGGTGGATGTGTCCATGCTGCAGAGCGAGTCCCCCGTACAGGTGTAGCCGAAGGGACAGCACTTCGAGCCACATTTGGCCAGGCTATCGTCGAGGCGGGTGGTGTGCACGCTGTTCTTGGGGTGGGAGGTCGCGTTCTGCAGCTGTACATCGCAGGTGATGGGCTCGATGTAGTCGCAGCTCTGCCCGGCTGGGCAGCAGATGGCGGAGCTGCCGTCGTCGAGACTGATGCAGGTGGAGCTGCTGGGGCAGCAGAAGGTGCTAGGAAGACCGCTGCTCGAGCATTGTGTGTAGTCGCTGGGACAGGTGTCGCTGCTTCGTGGCAGCAGGATGCCAACGGCCTGCGTTGGCGATATCGTTGAAGCGAGCAACCCGAATAATAGTAGTAGTCGGGACGAGTTGCCCTTGTGCGTGATCATCGTGATGGTTGGCACGAGAGAGGACCTGGTAGAACTTTCTTGCAATAGGATGAAATGAGAGAAGAGTCAAGAAAGGAGCGTAAGAGGACTATTGCTGGTATATCGGCTGGGCAAGGGTCGGATGGTGAGTCAAAGAGTGTTGTGCTTCAATGAAAGAAAGTGTCTAAGACAATGGGTTTGAGAGTGGAAGAAACGACGAGACGAGCCAGTACCAGACAAAGAGCGCTTCGAATTGTCTTGCAGGAAAAAGCAAGTCCTGAAGAAGATCTCCCTCCCCGTTGCTCGCAACATGCTGCCCAAAACCTTTCTGCACGCATCGTACTATCAGGATCTAAGGATCCAGGACGGTAGGTAGCAGGCGCCGAGTCCCAGAATAGCGACGAAACGTGGGGCCCATGACCGACGGGCTAATAATGAAGAGAGGTCTAGGCGCCAGAACGGGATCTTTGGGCTCGGACTGGATGAGAAGTCTAATTGACTGTTGCAGATTACCAGAAAGCCCGGCGCGTAGGCAGTGTGTACTTCTCTATTTGAATGTTGTTGTTTCAAGCTGGGCGGTTTGATGCAGAAGTAAATCGCGGTCCGCTGATTGGCCGATGTTGGCGCCTGCTTACCTCACTCGGTCTAAGCCGAAACAGGTAATCTCTCAATCTGGAGCGGAGGAAATTCTGCGGTTTGGAATTGCTGCTGCTTGTGTCAAGCACGACCTCCCTTAACATATTACTCCACCCCCAGATCATCATGCTGAACCGACTCCTCCGGCCGCAGTCTGCGCTGCGTGCAGCCTCCTCCCTCACTGCGGTGAGCTCTTTTCTGTCTTTCCGGCTGATTGGGCGCCTTCACTAACAGTGCGGACAGAAGCCTGTCTCCGCGCTCCCACGCATCCAGAGCCGTGCAATCCACCGCGTGCCTACCCTCGCCTACGAAAATGAATACCGGGGCAACGGTATCGCAGAGTTCATGTCACCAGAGGCGTTCGACTTCTCCTGGACGCAATACCAAACCCTCCTTGTCGACAAGCTGAACCTGTTGACGCAGGGTGAGTGCCAGCTCCGCGGACCTTGCTCGGTCCATGAAACACACTCGGACTCTAATAGATACCTGGATTAATAGACACCATCGATGCCGACGCGAAGCCCGGAGAACTGCTGGTCAAGTACTCCCGGCGTCCGGAGATGGCCTCCGTCTTCAACTACGCCTCAATGGCTCACAATAACCACTTCTTCTTCAATTGCCTGGTACGACCCAGACCTTGAGCGAATCCGTCCTTAGCACAGAAAAACACAAAGCCTAATCGCATAACAAACAGTCCCCCCGCAAAACCGAGATGCCCGAGAAGCTCGAGAAAGACATCACAGAAACGTGCTCGTCGGTCGAGTCACTGAAGCTCGATTTCCTGGCCACGGCCAACGCGATGTTCGGTCCCGGTTTCGTCTGGCTGGCCAAGAACCTGGAGCGCGAGGGGATGATGCACGTTTTCTGCACGTACAACGCCGGCTCTCCTTACCCTGCCGCGCACTCGCGCCGCCAAGCCGTTGACATGGCCACCCATACGCCCGACACCCCGCTGGGCAACCAGTACGCCGGCGCGATGGGCGCCCACGCGCCCAACCAGAAGAGCATGGCTCCTGGAGCCATCGATGTACAGCCTATCTTGTGTGTCAACACCTGGGAGCATGTGTGGATGATGGATTACGGTATCGCCGGCAAGGAGGAGTACCTGGAGCGGTGGTGGGACCGGATCAACTGGGAGGTGGTGGCTGACAACTACAACAAGATCAGCGTCAACCGGGGGGCGCGCAACCCCAACACCGCCTGGGGGCGCAGTCTGGGCATGATGTCGTAATTTCTTTTCACCCAATCCGGATGATGGTTCGATAAATTGTATTATACACATGGGTTCTCTTTCTTTTCTTTTCTTTTCTTTTCTTTTCTTTTTTCTCTTTGGCATTTATGGTCTAATCAAGTACAAGCATTTCCCCTTGGAATATAGACAAAAGAGAGTCTCCCTTGATTATATCTCATGATGAACACGAACCCCCTCTCCTCTATATGTGTCTAGTACCGTCACGATATTCTGGTATCAAAAAAGTATCACCGCCCAACCACCTCCCCCATCCTCTTCTCGAACGCCTCTATCATGACCCCAGCCATTTGGCCCTCAACCGCACTCATCATGGTAGCATGCCACTGATTCTTGAACTCGAACCCAATCTCCAAATGCACCCTGGTCATGCTCCTACCTCCACCCATCTCCGCAGTGACATCCGCCAACTCCCACTTGGTACTCAAATACTCGAAGATGCCTTCCTCCGCCCCGGGGAACCCAAACCCACCACCCCCTCCTCCGGAACTCACAGCCTGCCCGTCCTTCTTCGCCACGCCAAACCGCGCCCCACTCTGCGCCGTGACCGTCAGCCGTTGGGGATCACAATCCACCTTCGAGGTGAAGGTCTCGCTGAGCGGGCCGTAGCCCACCGTCAGGAAGGCACGCGTTGGGTATTGTGTCGTGGGGTCGCGGTGGGTGACGGTGCTGGCGGTGAGGAAGGGAAGGAAGGAGGAGTAGGACTGCACGTCGGAGATGACTTCGAAGAGAGGGGCGGGCGAGTAGGGGAGGGTGCGGGTGGCGGTTAGGCGGCGGGTGCGGGAGGAGGAATCGTTATCGGAGCCACTGGAGCCGCTGCCCGGGAGGAAGGAGGAGAGAAAGGTTCGACGTTGGTGTTGGTTTGTGGGGTGGGAGGATTGGGGCTGGTTTGTGAGGGTGTTGGTGTTGCTGCTGCTGCTGGGTTGTGTAGTCGTCGTTGTGGTGGTACGGAGAGGATGTGTGGTCAGTGTTGATAGCGGTTGTTGGGTGCCCCGGATTAGTAACCGGCGAGGGGTGGGCTTGAGGTGCCGCGTGGTGGTTAGGAGTGTTATGCGCATCTTGTTGTTCGGGGAGGTTGGTGGAATCAATTGATTATGGACTGTGGGGCGATGGGCGAGAGAGTTGAGGATGGGTCGCGGCGCATCGGGGCTTTTTTTCTGGGGTGCTTGCTGTAACTCCAATTTGCCTGTTTGGTCCGCTTCCGAGGCGGATTTTGTTCCGCGGTTTATCGTTGCTACTGCAGATATAGTCATTCAGCTACTGTAAATTCGAATAAAAACCTCCCATTGAGCTGACTTTCATTCTTTGCATCTCTTCTCATGCTAGATGGGCGAGTTATCTTAAATGGTTGATCTCTGTATGTCTTCCGGATGGTATAGCACCGGCTTATGTCTCACCCCAAATCTATATTTTGCTCTAACTGCTGCTCATCAATGCCTATCTTGATGATCTACTATTTACGGCGTATTTCTATACTCTCACAAGAACTTTGATCAAGAGAGTACATACATTAATACCCAGAGGCTTTAGGTTCTCCTTCAAGATCATTGCCACTACCTCAGCAACAAAATATATCGAGAGACCTCGAGCGCTGGGTGTAGCCTATGTAGGCAGAATTAATAAGAGAGGCTCCCTCATTCTTAGGCTCCCTTCAATTATCCCATGTATAGAACTACAATGGGAATATTTACCGTAGTGATCAGTCGACTTTTCCACCCAAGCTTTTGTGGCATGGGCAAACCATGTATAGAACGAGCATACGAGTATATCGGACTTATTGCGGAGATAAACCCGGGGCTAGTTATCGATGGTAAGAGCGCAAGCCACCTACTTCGCCATCACAAGCTCACCTCATCATCATCCTACCGGAAGATGTCTACATGTCACACAGAACGCCTTAACCTCAAAAGACATACTTTACTTAGATTCATTATAAGCACTGCCTGCAAAGGTACCGCCGCTCAAAATGACAGACCTACATGACGCTCTCCCCGTCCGAGAAACCAAACGCACCCGTGTTCAACTATCTTGTACAGCATGTAGAGCGCGCAAGCAAGTGTCCCAACGATGGCATCCACATCTGTTCTTTCAGACTCTGTAATCTCATGAGAAGTCACTAATGCCTTCCACAGATTGAAATGCTGCCGCGTCCACCCCTGCACCAACTGCAGGAAGCGTGGCGAGGCCAACTCCTGCACCTTTGTCGGCCGCGGACCGCGAGGCAAGACCTCGCAAGGGCGCGCGAGTCCCACACATGTCCAGGATCGGTTGCAACACCTAGAGAACCTGATCTTATCACTAACGCAGCAAAAGATGCTGGAGCAGCCCACGGAGACAAATGGGGATGGCGCGGGAACCGGGCAAGAAGAGGTGAACTTCGCCGCTCTGGAATTGACCAACGCTGGAGAAGCACCCTTCGCGAACTCGACCCGGATCCATACGGATGATACTGGGACTGATGAGAGTCAACGCATATCAGGGGTGGGGCTGGCGTCAAGGCCCCATCCTCTGACACCGGAGGAATCGCCGTCTGACCCCCCGGGGAAGCTGGTGGCCCAAGAAGCTGGAACGAGGTACGTTGATGGGGCTCACTGGAGAGCTGTACTGGAGGAGGTATGTTACTTGGTTTCTAACTATAACCTGTTGCCTTGTTCCTGCCACTTTGAGAAGGCCCAACTAATCTTTGGGTAGATCAGCGAAGTGAGGGAGTATTTGCGCGAACAAGAAGTACACTCAGACGACGAGCTTGCCCAGCAGGATGAAAAGAGCGTGACTGCACCAACTTTGCTGTTAGGACTGCACAAACCCCTCAGAAAGGAGGAGCTGCTGGCACAAATACCGCCGCGGCCGGTGACTGATCGCCTGGTGGCGCAGTGGCTTAATTGCAAAGAGCCTGTGATTGGTGGGTTCTTTGTTCTTCACTATATCCAGAGCAATAAAAAGCCCTGCTGATACTTGGTTTCTAGGCATCACGCACATTCCAACGTTTCAAAAAGAGGTAAGTAGTCGGGAGGCAAAGTTCTGCTTGCTGTCGCAACTGACAGCAGCAGTACAATAAGTTCTGGGACCGCCCGCATGAAGTCTCCTTGCCATGGCTAGCTCTATTATCTGCCTGCATCGCAATGGCGCTTGCCTTCAATCAGCGAAGTGGAGACCCGACGCCCCTATCACCTCAGGACCCTGCTGAGGCTCAGAATTCGTTCCGCAAGCTCACAGCACAATGTCTTGTTCAGTCGAATTATACCGCGCCTGCCAGGTACAAAGTCGAGGCACTGTTTCTCTACACTATGAGCGAGTTCCTCCGGAGTGACGACGCACAAGTCGGGGTTTCGTTTCTTCTCGGTATCACAATCCGCTTGGCCATCCGAGCAGGCTACCATCGAGACCCCAAGCACTTTCCCGACATGTCCGCCTTTGACGGCGAGATGCGTCGACGTGTCTGGACCATTCTTCGACAACTGGACACTTTAATCAGTTTCCAGGTTGGCGTCCCCAGAACAATCCAAGACTGGCAACATGACGTGGAATTACCCCGCAACATATCCGACGAGGACTTCGATGAGAGCACCGAGGAACTACCCCCTTCCCGCCCTGATAAAATCTTTACGTTGGTGTCCTACACCCGTGCCAAGTCACGTATTATGACTATATTCGGCAAAATCTCAGATCTAGCATATTCGCGCGAGCCCGTTACCTACGAGGTGACCCAGGCTCTCGACCGTCAACTTGACGAAGCACACGATCAGGTGCCTTCCACTTTCAAGATGCGTCCTGTCAATCAGTGCATTGCGGATCCCTCCGACCTCATCTTCCGGCGATACACTTTGGAGCTACTGTACTTGAAGGCGCGGTGTGTGTTGCACCGGAGGTATCTGGGCGAAGACCACAACAACCTCCGCTATGCCTACTCACGGTGGGTGTGCATGAGTTCCTCGAAGGATATTCTTCGCCACCAAGCAGATATCCACCACGAAACGCAGCCAGGGGGGCTGTTATACCGGGATAGACTGTTCCCCAACGCGCTGCAATATGCAGACTATCTGCTCGCAGCCATGATCATTTGTCTGGAATTGTCACATCAGCGCACAGGGACGCCACCGCTCGGTGGAGGCACGAATGATGATCTCGCGGTGGTGGTTCGGGGTCAGGAGGAGCTGTTGTCGGCGTTGGAGATGTCGCATGAGATATTTGATAAGATGCGTAGACGGTCAGCAGATGCGCAGCTGGGGTATGCCGCAATGACGATCATGCTTCGTTGGGTGAAGCAGCAGCGTTCGGGGCAGGAGGATCAGCAGCAGCAGCAGCAGCCAAGCATCTCAGGTAAGTACGCCAGGAACTATTGGATTCTGAAAATTGCTCTGACAGAAGAATGTAGCTTATCCCCCGGCGTATGGAAGCTGGCAATTGGAGGGTGCAAACTCGCTAGATGCGCAGGACTTCCAGCCGATGGACGGCGTAACTCCGGGCTATGCTTCTCTGGACGTCATCGGCGATATGCTGGATATGCCTACGAACATGGATTGGGTGAGTTTATTCTTTTGGAGAGTGATCGATGTGTAGTACTAATTGACGTAGCGCCTGTGGGATCTACAGATACAAGGTGTTGAGAGACCGAATCCAGGTAGTACATGGACCCAACCGGAGTTCAACGATACGCTTCAAGAAAATTAGCCAGCTACATACCACTGCGAAGGGGCAACTACAAGCCTGATTATGACTCCTCAGATAACTTGAGACGAAGTGATACAATAAGTTCTATTGCGGGAAGGCAACCGCGAGCCAACAATGCATGACTCAATTTCCTTAAGGACGAAGGGCAGCCCTTCCATCGAACTGTCAGCGGCAGCTTCACAATTCAACGCTGGTATCCTTGTAGTTCGATGATTTCGAGCTAGACTTGCCATTGGCGTAAGGTCGTGTACGGGTGAAGAGACAGAGCTAACAGCCTCTTGACAGGTGGTGAGACATGCAGTCTCGAGATTCCTCGTGTGCTGCCACTCGATCCATTGGGTAGTGAGCCTGGCCACAAGAGTTGTCCTCACTGACCATACGAGACTAACCCAGCGTTCTGAAACATCCTACACTTTCACAGAGGATGAATGCCCTGCTTGTTCACACCGCTATTTCTGAATGACAAGCAAGATGTCTCAAAAAGCTCGCACGGCTTCGTCCCATCCCGCTACAGTGCTGCTCGGCGGCAATCGCTCGCTACCTCGTCCATAATTTCTAATCTCTTCAGTCGACTCTGTACTCCGTGGGATCCAATGTTGTTTCAAATTATTGACCTTCTTTTCAATAAGTAGCCGATGAAAGAGAATAAAGTTTTACACCATATCCAGCTCACGGGAACTGGGACTTTCATTGTTGAGCCTGTGCCGATATAAAGGAACCGTTGCTGCCTACCGTGCATGGGGTAAACATGTATAGCTGTTAGATTGCTAGTTGTACAAAGATGGCGAAAACAGCACCGAGTTAAATTGTGCGTTCAATTCCAGCGACAAATGGCCTCCATGACCGATTCCAGCTAACAACCAAACCAGGAAGTGATAATGGGATTCCACCAATGTTCTCGCGAACCCCGCAGTTACGGGGATCAGCTCCCTCGGAATCGACCATGTTAATGCGCTCGGGAATACGATCGATTAGATTGCGTGGCATAAAGCAGGAATTTTTAAGAAGGGCTGTCCGGCCTTCACGGTACCTCAGGTCCCACAGGCGATGGATGTGCTGCAGGAACGGGCCATCGAAAGGGGAACCCACCTTAACATTGTTGAAGTACTCGCTGCGGTTCACGGCCTTGACATCAAGCCTGCAGAGCATTTCCAGAGGCAAAATGCTTCTCTCGCTATTAGGTTGGCGGAAACCGTGCTCACAAGGCTCGGGGTTGCCGCCGCCGATGATTGCTGCGAGTTCGACAGACTTCCTGCTTTGTTTGGACAAGGGCTTGAGAACCTGGATTGGAAAGGGAGATGCCAGACCTTGGTCACGGGTCAGCAGCACTGGTATCTGGATGGTGCTCACACCCACGAGAGCCTTGAAGTCGCCTGCTCTTGGTTTGGACGGGTATCAGGGACCAAAAACCTGCCGCGGGAGCTAATCTTCAACCAGCAGCATTCATCGAGGGACCCTATCGCGCTACTCAGAACTGTTCATCGTATTATATACACCAAGCTTGGTGTTGTCTTTCAATACGCGGTTTTCTGTGCGAATAACACGTACACAGACCAGTCTTGCAATCTTGGTATGTGAATGAGCTCTCCCGTTGGGCAGGCAGGACTTTGGCAAGAAACGACGCTAATAAGCATGGTCTTAAAAGAAGTCGATTACTCACAATGTCCATCCTGATGCACTTCAGGGACTGATCCTACAGAAGAAGTTAGCGACAGTCTGGAAAGAACTAGATCCTGACTCGGAGGTGACGTGGCTGCCCTCGATTGAAGATGCCGTTGACTATGTCAAAGAGATTTACAATGGAGCTTTGAAGGAGCCAGGGGCTGAGATTTTGGTTACGGGTAGCTTCCATCTGATTGGGGGGTGGGTGCTGTCACTTATAGACGGAGTGCCAAGTATGTTGGAGACAGCTGTGGAGTATTAACTAGGCAGTAGTAGGAGTGAGTGGTGTTATTACCATCATCGACCATTTTCTTTCGGATAAGTGATTAGCAGTTATTCTTGCTCTTTGCTATGCTAGAAATTGTATAACCACAGTCCTCGTGTTGAACAAATGTCACATGATCTAGACCCCTTGTTTCTTTGTTGCTCTCGCACCCCCGCTCCTCCTCTGTTCCCTTCTACCTATCCAGTCCTATCTGATCCTTTTGCTAGTAATTTGCTGAACGGAAAAATCCTCACGGCCTACAAAGCAAGCAAAGCACTGCAATTTTCTCTCAAGGCCCGGCCTTACTTCTCGATGAGAGCACACTATGCTGAGGCGCATTAGGCGGCCTGTACTGCAGCGAACGAATCCACCTGGCTTAGCCTGGGCTCGTTGTGCTCGCCATCTACCAGCGCACTTGGCGACCGCCAAAGAATCGGACTCAATCATGCCTTCCAAGGCCGACATCACCAGAGTGTGTCGCTTGGCTTCAACCCTGCTTGATGACGGGTCTTTCAACTGTAGATGTGTGGATATAATCGAAGGAAAGTCCCACAGGGCTTTCCTGCTTACCATGGATGATAGGCGTGAAGTTCTTGTGAAGACACCTCGGACAATTGCTGGATCAGGTTGCTTCGCGACCGCCTCTGAAGTGGCGACGCTCAAATTCTGTCTGCTCCCTCCTCCCGCAACGCAATACAGATCTTTTTGATGCTGACGTCCCCTCCCAAGTGCGTCAGTCGACGTCCCTGCCGGTTCCACGCGTTCTTGCGTGGAACGCAGACTCGGCAAACGAAATCGGGTCGGAATATATCATCATGGACAAGACTCCCGGGGTCGCCTTGGATGGGATCTGGGAGGGGCTGAGCACTCTGCAACGGTACAGTATTATCGAGAAGGTCGTCGCTATGGAAAAGGAGCTTGCCTGTCTGGAGTTTCCGGCCTATGGGGCACTCTATCTCCGGGGCTCTGAGCCTGCTAACCTGAGGTATCATCCCGTCTCGGACGCGCTAGACAGCGCCGACTCTTTCTGCGTCGGGCCGTTGTGTAATGCGCGCTCAAAGCAGGGTGGTGGTGAATCATCCCGGGATTCAGGCACTTCCGGCCCCTGTTAGTGGTCTCTTCCTCGCCCCGCCTTTTGGTTCACCCTCCAGGACATCCCCAACATCTCTTAATTGTTGTTGTAGGGGTATCACTCGCAGAGCTTGCATCATCGTCAACTCAATTAAAGACAAGGACAAAGCAAACCTGTCAAAAGGATGAAGGGGGCGAACTTCAATCCAGAATGCACGAAAGCCCCGACCTTCCGGACCCAGAGGGCCAGGACTTGCTTGAGAGCATTTCGACCATATTACCTATTTTATGCTCGGATCACCGCATCCTAAAGGTCTCCAAGCCCACCTTACGGCATCCGGGTCTATCGCTTGACAACATTCTCGTTTCGGCCACTACAAGAATTCTTGGGATAATCAGCTGGTGGTCCGCCGCAATCCTCCCCCTGTTTCTCCAAACGCGATTCCCCAGGTTCTTAGCAACCCCTCCCAGCTACAATCCGGGCGATCCGCTTCCCAGCTTAGCTGGTTTTGCTTCTTGGAGTTCGGAGCAAAAGCAAAGTGCCCTCAGGTTACAATGTACACTTGCTCGGTCCAGGTACTACGAGATGTGCATAGTGGAGCACGACAGTCACTTGGCACATGAGGCGATGAATCTGGATCGTAACCTGAGTGGCCTATTTCGATGCCGAGATTCATTGGACCTGGCCGATGGGGATTCGAAGCTCCGTAGCCATTTGCAATCCATCGCTGCCAATTGGACTGGAGTAGGCCTGCCCGGGACCTGTCCTGTCACGATCCGCGGCAGGGAGGGCAGGCAGTGCAGCATGCGGTGGGAGGGGGTCTCATGCTCTTGACGCCTGTTATGGAGAAAAGTTCGGGGGACTCCCTTAGGAGGCAGTTGAATGTCCTGCTCAGATTAGCTAGTAAGTAATGTGGTAAGGGCGTTGCTCCGTCCCATCTTTTGTCTTCTTCGTAACAACCGGCCCTGGAAGAAGTTTCATGAGACTCTTTTCAGGCTTAGATGTCAATAGCCTTAGCTAGCTCGCACAGAGTGACTATAGAGTCTTTCACAATCCCACTGCTTTCATAATGTTGAAATCGGCCTACACACATGACTTTACCCTGTAAATTGCATGCCGAATCTCCACGGCACATTAACACCTAGGTTCTTTGCAATTCGAAATCTAAAACCTCCCCTACTCTGTCGCATGTATATTGCCGAATATTTACTATACCCACCTAAGCACGTGCCCTTACCATGCTCACTCACACTTTAGATGCGGCTTGACACCGAACTTTGGTGATTGAGCCCGCAGCGGGGAGTATCGTCGACCGAAATTCAGCAAAGATATTTGAATTTCCTAACTATTTCTACGAGGATCAGGAACACACTGCATGCCATCGTCTAGACTTACGAGCAGTGAAGTGGATGCATAATCTCCCCAGTGCTAATTAGAAATCCATCCCCGATCTTTTCAGACTGCCAACTCCCTCCACTCCACTCCATTCCACCCGGTCACCCGCGCCGGTGGATCCGTTCCGCCCGTTCCACCCGTTCCACCCGTTCCACCCGTTCCCACCGGGTATCATCCCACGACCGGGGATCTCGTAACCTCCTACAATATGTCACGATCCACGTAGGCTTTATGCCTATGCATATAGAACTGAACAGGTGTAGTATATCCACAGAGAAGTTAAGCTCCCCCATTAATAAAGGAAATCACTGTATATCAATGGCCCAAAGCACATAACCCCCCTCCCCCCTCCCACAAAAGAAATCCCAAATCCGGCTCGGCTAGCCCTCAGCCGAATCCCGTAAAATTGCTCAACAGAGAATCCCACTGGATGTCATCGACGGGGAAGATATCCTCCAAGTTGTCGTCGCCGTAGATCGACGGCCAGATCTGGGGTGGTGGTGGCATGGTAGCCTCGTTGGTGGCGTCAACCGCCATCATCGACGGATCGTGCCTCGAGACTGCGGGTTGGTTGGCGGGCACAGTCGCACTGCCCACAACAGCCCGGATCTGGTAGGGGTAGCACCGGGCGAGCAGCCGCATTTTCAAGCACAGGCTGCCCGTGACGTCCGCCTCCTTGGCTGCCGTCGACATGCCCTCGAACTGCGTGTCCAGCGTGTTGGCGAGCTCGGTGATGAGATTAGGATAGTCGGCTGCGTCGACGACGGCCCGCACCTGGGTTTCTATGGCGAAGCCGCTGTTGATAGGGCCTCCGTCGGTGGTATTAGTAGTAGTGATGAGCCGGAGAAGGGTGAAGACGGCGGTGGGCACGTAGCCCACGGCGGCGCATACATGGGCAGTTGTCGTGATGTTCACCTGGGCGATCTCCGACACGGGGAGGTGGCTGGCCGTGCGGATGAGCTCCTTGCTTCGCTGGATGAGGTCCATCAACATCGTCGTCCGGACTGCGCTCGCGGGCTCGGCGGTCCACAGGTCCTCCCGGAGAGATAGTTCCTCGAGCCGCAGCTCTGCATGTTTGATCTCAATGCGGATCGCATTCGCTGTGGGGGTCTGTGTCAATTCCGTCGAATTGCCTCGAGGACATAGAAGACGCACCTGTCGATGAAGGGTAGCTTGAGAGATCCTTTTCGATGTCCGCGCTCAAGCTATCGAATTGCCGCCGTAGAGCGCCGCGCGTGACCTGGACAAGCATACTTCCGCCGCTTGCTTGTACCGAAGCGTAAACTTCATCCATTGTTACCAAGAAGGACTCTAGGCGGATGAACGGCGCAATCCACCGATCCGACGAACGCTCGGCAGATGCTATGCCCGCGAGGCACTCCTCGGTTCGACTATTATGCTTCATGGTAATCGGGCGGTCAAGCGTGCTATAGACACTGATGTAACACAGAGTTAGCCGAAAGAAGAGCATGCAACCAGCGCTGAAAAGCTCACCCAACCGATACGCAAAACGTACCGAGCAGCGCCCGCTGCTCATCGGCACTTAAGGCCGGCTTCCTGTGCAGTCCCAGATCATGCACCATCGAAACACAAAATTGAATCAACAACAATAGTCGCGGATGGTTCTTCTCTGCCGGGTACGAGTACCATGCGCAGTGGACTAACAGACCGCGGAGCAACTCGAGATTTCGCTCGGAGTTTTCCACGACCCTGCAAGTGACGTGCTTCATGATCTCCGCGGCGACGGTCTTGCGCAGCGGATGCGCACTGCCGATGGTCGCGGCCACGACGCACAAGAACAGGAACGGCTCGCGGGCCCGGAGGCAAGCGGCTGTCTCGCCGGGGGCAAGCACGACGAAGGGGAAGGTGAGCACGAAGTCGCGCTGGAAGGTCGTGACCAAGCGCTCCGCCTCGGCTGCACTCAAGAGCCCTCGCTCGACGAGGGACGGCTGGCCCGCCAACGCAGAGCCGGTCGGCGGATCGAGGCCGTGCGAGGCGTCTTTGGCCGCGTCTAGCATCGCGGCAATGTCTGTCGAACCCAGATCTGCATCTGCATCCGCATCCCGAGATGGAACCCCATCGTGGGTGGTCGTGGGCGTAGTAGTCGACGTATCGTCCGACGTTGTGTGTCCGTTCGGTTGAGTCAAGGCAACCAGCTGCGACATCAGCTGTTCAACCTTCCTCTCTAGCACCTCCACACGGCTGCATCCATGAATCTCATGATCAATACCCGCGAGTGCTATAGTTCTGTATGTGGGGAGTGTGGGTGGGGGAAGTGGGGACCTACCTCGGTGCAGCAGCCTTATGCCTCCGTTTCGTCTGCGGAAGGTCTAGGTAAGTGCATGATTTGCCCAATCGAGCACATCGCTGGCACATGTTGGCAGTCTGCGGCGTGCATTTCGCCTTGGCTGCGGTGCATGTCACACATGCCCTTCTCTTGACTGCAGGTATGGGGGCGTTCATCATGTCATCCAGTAAGGAGGACGGGGAACGGAGCGGCCGGTCGAGTTGGATCGACCGATCCATGCCCGCCGGTCCGGCCCAGCTTGCTGATCAATTGGACCGGGCGGAAACGGATCGTCCGGTCGGAGCGGGTTGGATTCCCGCCCACTCTATGAAGCATCACTGTATACGAGGACTTGAAGAGTATATAAGGAAGTCAAATCGAAACTAATTCTTACAATGATCTCAACAACACATCACACAGCAATCCACTCGTCTGAGCGAAGTCATCTGAACAGACCATCTCCCCGTCCCAATCGAAGAAAATGTCTTCCTACGCTATCACCGGAGCCTCCAAGGGCATTGGCCGCGAGTTCGTGCGCCAACTCGCCGCCGATACAAACAACACAGTCCTGGCCATCGTGCGCAACCCTGAGTCGCCCGAGATTGCCGACCTGACCTCCAAGCACCCCAACGTGCACGCCATCAAAGGCGACGTCACAGACCCCCAGTCGATCCTTGAGGCGGCCGCGGCCGCAGCCGCCGTCACCGGCGGGACGCTCGACGTGCTGATCCACAACTCCAATGCCGTGGATGCGGCCTCCATGTCCTACACCCCGACCCAGATGCCCTTCGATGCGCAGGCCATGCGGGCCAGCTTCGAGCCGTCGCTCAGTACGAATGTCTACGGCGGTCTGTGGGCGACCAACGCCTTCCTGCCCCTGATCGAGAAGGGCACCCAGAAGAAGATCGTGCACATCTCCACCGGGATGGCCGATACGGCTTTCATCAAGAAGGCCTCTGTCAGCGTGGCGGTCGCGTACTCGATCGCCAAGGCCGCTGTGAATGTTCAAGTCGCCAAGTACGCCGTGGAGCTGGCGCCGAAGGGCATCAAGGTCGTGGCGGTGAGCCCTGGCTGGGTGGATACGTGGGAGGGTAAGTAGCTTTCCCTTTGCTGCAAGCAGGTTAGATCACTGATATACCATCATTGCAGGAGAGAAACCCGCCCAGGTAGTGGAAGCGGACAACTTCTTGCTGAAGCAGTTCCAGGCAGCAAAACCTGACCTCGAGGGCAAGATTCTGCCGGAAGAGAGTGTTAGAAAGGTCCTTCAGGTGATTGAGCATCTGGATATCGAGGATAGTGGCTTGTTCCTGAGCCACAATGGAGATCAGGAGAATTGGTTCTAAGTACGGAGTACTCCGGATACTGATGAGATGAGATGAGTGGCATCGGGGGGTGCGGTTTGTACTGTATTGACAGATCCCTTCTCGTGTCTATACTTTCCATTGAGTAACATGCATTTGCTCCGTGCTACCTTGTACGAACAATATAGTCAGGATAGAGGACCACATTAATTGAAGTATATAACATCATGCATGAACGTGTCGACTGTGTTGTTACTTGGTTATGTTGTAGTAGCGATAAATAGATAGGACGGAACATTGTGGCTCCGACCCGGAGGAAAGTGATGGGTTGCAGAGCAGCCTCCGATAGCTTCATTCCATCTCTCCGATAAACAACGATCCAGTTTCTTATTCGGATCGCAACCCCCATCAGTCGTCATGTCGTCCTTACTCGGAGCTGGCTATGAGTCAAGCGACGATGACACCACTCCCTCCGCCCCTCAGACCCAACCCCCCGCGCCGTCTGCGACCAAGATTGTCGCCGCGCCCGAAGTGAACACAGAGGTTTGGTCCCTTGAGATCCCCTCTCCGCTGGATGGCCTTGGGGGAATTCGAACTCTCCTCGCCATCTTACAACACCTCCAAAAGCCTCGCGTAGCTAACAGTCCCACAGGATCAAGCACACATGCAGATGATGCTAGCTAATACCTCCTCCACCGCCCTGACCTACAACGCCACATACGACGACCTCTCCCGACCATCGCAAGGCCCAGCCAACCCGTTCAAACCCATCGGAGGGGCCAACGGCCTCAAGCGCAAGAATGTGCCCACCGGATACGCCGAAGAGGCCGCTATCAGCGAAGCGACCTTCACGGCGCAGCACCGCACCTTCCAGAGTCTCGGCTACACGCGCAACCCGACGCAGCCCGAGCAGTTCGTCGGCAACCTTTCCCACGCCGCGCAGTTCGGCGGCCGTGACGTGATCCAGATGAAACCGTCCAAGACCGTCTCGGCGGCGCTGCGCTCCAAGCGGCAGAGGAAGGGCGACCCGAGCATCGTCGAAGGGGAGGGCGCCTACCTCGGCCCGTGGGCGAAATACCAGTCGGACGACCACTACTACGACGAGCGGGCCGTGGAGGGCGACGAGGCGGAGGATCGCGAGCTGGCCAGCGACGAAGAATACGTGTATGAGGACGAGGTGGACGCAGCCCAGGCACCCCCCGCGCACATCCCCCCACCCATGGACAAACTGGCGACCGACTACCAAGACGACTCGACCACCGCGGAGACGACCGAGTTCCACGGCAGCGAGCAGTTCGACTACCAGGGCCGGACGTACATGCACATCCCGCAGGATCTGGACATCGACCTCCGGCGGGAGCCCGGCAGCACGAAGAACTTCATCCCCAAGAAACTCATCCACACGTGGAAGTCGCACACCAAGGCGATCACCTCGCTGCGCTTCTTCCCGCGGTCGGGCCACCTGCTCCTGTCGGCGGCCGCCGACGGCAAGGCCAAGATCTGGGACGCGTACCACTCGCGCGAGCTGCTGCGGACCTTCTCGGGCCACAGCAAGGCGATCACGGACACGGACTTCCACCCGACGGGGACGACCTTCCTCACGGCCTCGTACGACCGGCAGATCAAGCTCTGGGACACCGAGTACGGCAAGTGCGTGGGCCGGTTCTCGACGGGCAAGACGCCGCACGTCATCCGGTTCAACCCGGCCCCGGACCTCTCCCACGAGTTCCTGGCCGGCATGTCCGACAAGAAGATCGTGCAGTTCGACACGCGGTCCGGCGAGCTGGTCCAGGAGTACGACCACCACCTGGCGGCGATCAACACGATCACCTTCGTGGACGACAACCGGCGCTTCATCTCCACCTCGGACGACAAGTCGCTGCGCGCGTGGGAGTACGGCATCCCCGTGCCGATCAAGTTCATCGCCGAGCCCTACATGTTCGCCCTCACGCGCGCCACCCCGCACCCCAACGGCAAGTACGTCGCCTTCCAGTCCGGCGACAACCAGATCGTCGTCTACGGCGCCACCGACAAGTTCCGCCAGAACCGCAAGAAGAGCTTCCGCGGCCACAACAACGCCGGCTACGGCATCGACATCCGCATCTCCCCCGACGGCCAATTCCTCGCCTCCGGCGACAGCGCCGGCTACGTCTGCTTCTGGGACTGGAAGACCGGCAAGATGTACCACAAGATCCTCGCCGGCGGCAAGGAGGGCGGCGCCACCACCTGTCTCGATTGGCATCCCCAGGAGACCAGCAAGGTTGTTACCGGTGGCTTGGATGGGATTATTCGCTACTGGGATTAATTTCCTCTTACGGGCCTTATCTATCTGTTTTTTTTATTCCTTCAAGGCACACAAGGAGTTTATGGTATAATGTCGCTTCCATATGAAGGCTTTTTTTTTCTTTCTTCCATTGTCACGTATAGGTACCCCACTAACTTATGTGCTATGTACTGTACAATCTGCAACGCTTAACGTCAATAGACTATCTTCCTCGAGTTGCTGCCTGGCCTATCACGGAGGGACGTAAGAGTAGAGAAGGAAAGATGTGTGCTGTACACCCAACTGACTGCCTTAGCCACTCGCCCAAATCTCGTGAATGCTGAATCACTCCCCAACCAATTCTCACCGCGGAAAGGCTAGAATAGACTACTGTAAATATGCACACAAAACAGATGCTCCGATCCACCCAGACAACCGAACAGCAGACGAGGATGCTAGAAACTCGCCATCTCGATCCAACTCGCCACGAACGCCAAGGTGCGGCCGCGATCCATGGCCATGCGCTGCGCGAACTCCTCGAAGTTGAGCTTCGCACCGCTGCCGCCGCGCTCCTTGGCCTCGCGCTCGATCCGGTTCAGGTACGCCCAGCGCGACAGCGTGACCGGCGACGGGGGCAGGGTCGGACTGGGGCGTTTCGGGAGGGTGGAGGACGGGGGCGGGAGGGGTTGGATGGGCGACGGGGAGAGTTTCGGGGCGGTGGCCTCGGCGTCGGGGGAGGAGGCCGGGAGGTGGGAGGTGGGCGCTGGGAAGGAGGTTGAGCCGGTGGGGTCGAGGCGGAGCTCGGTGGGGAGGTCGGTGCGGTGGCGGGAGAGGAGAGCCGGTGATGGGGATGGGGATGGGCTGCGGCTGCGGCTGCGGCTAGTGGTTTGGTGGAAGGTGGTTGTGGTTGTGGTCGTAAGGAGGTCTTCCTCGTTGGGACGGTGGTGGGGGAGTGTGGGATCGTAGTATGATGACGCGGCGGACGAAGGCCTACTCTCTACTGCTGCTGCTGCTGCTGCTGCTTCTTCGGAGGCAACAGAGGAGGCAGAGAGGGAGGGCGAGGAGGGAGAGATTGCGTGAGGCGGGATCCAGTCCTCGTTGTCCTGAGATCCCTCAGGCATATTCAATGGTGACGCCAATGCTGCTGCTGCTGCTGCTGCTGCAATAGGTCTTGTCTCGGTAGGGTCGATGAGTGACTCTACCGGGTCATCAGGGATATGCAAGTCTGGCGTCGGAGGAGCTAAAGCCTGCACGTTTCCTAGTCCCTCGACGGCGTATCCTGCCCGTTGGAGGAGGTCGTCCAGCGAGCTGTCACGGAGCATGTTCTGCATGGCTGCCTCTGCTCCCTCCGCCTCAGCGGCGTCCTCATCGGCTTCAGATTCCGGCCGCACGATGGGGAGATCTTGAGCAGCCTGTTTACCATGCTCCATCTGTTCGGTAAGTTCAATCTCACGGGCCCAGATTTTACGCTCGGCACGAGTCTCGTAGACCTCCATGAGCAGGTCCTCCTTCTGCTTGAAGAGGATGTCGAGCAATTCGTTGAACCCTTGTTGGGTGACTTGATACAAGATCTCCTTTCCAACGTCCCTTTCCACTTCAGGAACTTCGAAGCCGCCCCATCGCTCACTCACGAGAATGCTTCGCGATGAGGTTGATGGGTTCGATCTCACGTCGTAGTCGTCCGTCAGGTCATCTTGGAATCGCACCTTGGATGAGGAGCGAGAACGAGGGGACGGGGGGTGTGATTCCGATGCGGCTGCGTGTGATTCATCGCCCTCGTTATCTTCCTCTTCCTCTGAGCTAGCCGCGTCCATGTCGCTTTGATAGCCAACAGGGGCGGTGGCACCATCTTCTTCGTCCGTGTAGAATCCCCGCCGTCTCCATCGGTCATGAACCCCCATTCGGCGCCTGACGTGGAGACGAACTTGATCCGTTGCATACATCCTGTTGTATACGGCTGTGCCGATGCGAGCCCGATCAACAGGATCTGTGATCTCATGGACCGGAACATAAGCTCCGAGAGCACTGACGATGTCCTCATTGCGGATGTGCTCCGGGGGAGGCCAGCGGTCGCTGGCTCCAGACGAACTGGACGCATCATCAGCTGCAGCCCCGGCTTCTTCAACATTCGTCTCTCTTCTCGGTTGGCTTCCAGAAGCATGAGCAGAACCGGCGACAGAGTGGCGCGTCGTCGGCAACACCGGCCGTGTGACGCCATAATAGCTTCGAACGGCAGCATCACCAATCACCGAGTAGCGGTCCCCAGTATCCGTCCCATCGAGACGAAGTACACCCTCGTTGTCAACAATCTCGAGGTCTCCGTCATGATTGACTCGTTTCCCCTCGCCCGTCCGTGAGGGTTCCCCATTGGGAATGCTACCAGGAAACGCTGAACTGATCGGCTGGCTTCCAAGAACGACATCCCGAGCGCCGCCTTCCAGGAAATCATCCTCCAAGCCGGCAACCATATCCCTCGTCAACTCCCTGCTGAGAGCGTAGTAAGCTCGGAAAATCCGCAAGAAATCCTTCCGCTCAATGAAGCCATCACTATCGATGTCATAGCCCCGGAAGACACGGCGAAGTCGTTCGTCATTGCTCTTGTTGTTCAGACTCGCGATACCCTTCAGAAATTCCTCCAGGCCAATTAGCCCGTCATTGTTAGTGTCGTAGAATGCGAACATGCGATCATAAATCAAACTCGGGGGCGGTGGCCTAAGAGAGGTGTTCGGCACAAAGCACCGGTCGAACGTCTTCCGGTCGATGGCCATATACACCTTGTTCGGATCGTCCTCCCATTCGTGATTTGCCAGGCACCGGAACTGATCCCACAGCGCGTCCAGCTCGGTATTCTCGAACCCGGTCTCTTTCATCAGCCGCTTGAACAACGATCTCGGCAAGCTGCGCGGCATCATCGTGGGCTTCCCTGGATACCACACCGGCTGCGACTGACGTGGACTTCCAAGGAACGGCGCGGGGATGCGCACCTTGTAGAACATGTGCGTCTTGATATGGACTTGCATGGCTTCACACGTCTCACACAGGTCATAATCGATGCAGTTCGCACACCGATACCGGATGCCCTGGATCGGCATCGCACCGCAGCTATTACACGTCACCCCGCGGTGAATATACCCATCCCTCCTCGCCTGGTCCTCCGCGATGTGATACAGCAGGTTCAGCAGGTTCTGGCCCTCCCGCATCGGCGCCGCCTCATTGTTGTGTTCCGCGCCGTCGCGCCACGAGAAGACGCTCTGGTCATCCACGACCGTCTCATCCCCACCGTCCGCCAGCGCAGTATTCGGCGCCCCGGCCGTTGGCGACTGGCCTTCCTCAGTCTCGTACGGAAAGCTCGATGTCGACAGCGTGACTCGCTCCCCATTCTGCCGTCGTCGTCGCAAATCCGCCCCGTAGTTATCGTCCGCATTGAACCGGACCAGGGCCCGCTCGATGCCCGCGCGTGAGATCCCCCGCCGCTGGAGTTGCTCGATCAGATACTCCCGCTCGGGGCTGCCTTCGTCCAGACGGTGACTGGATGGGAAATCCAGCGCGAGGAAAGACTCCAGAAAAGTATCTTCCATCATCTCCCGCATCCGTTCCGCGTGGTCCTGGGGCACCCCAACCTGCTCCATGAGCTGGTCTCGCGTCGCTAGGAGAGATGGAAGGAGGCCGCTTTCCACGCGGCGACCATCTTCGGTCTCGATACGGAAGGTTCCGTAGACACCATTGTGGCGCTCGAGCTGTTCGAGGTGCGCGATGGCGCGCGATGAGGGAGTGTCCGCCGCGGCTGAGAAGGACTCGTCGGGGAGTTCATTGTTACTGCTGTTGTTGCGTCGCTGGCGGCGCACAGCGCGGCGGCGATGAAGACGTGAGCCACCAGGAGAAGGATGTGCGCCAGTATCCCCGGGGTGAAGGAGGTGTTGCCGTATGTAAACGATTGCGTAGGCTGCTGCTACACCGGAGAGAAGGTAGAGAATCGGACGGTATCGTGACAAAGCCAACCTAGGGCGGGCGTCCGACATAGCGGCCAAGGGAAAAAGCGGATTATTAGGCGAGCAGAAGCATTTCTGTCAATATCAGCCTGCTTCGGTAATGAAATATGCAGGGTACTGGATCAGGTGAACAGATTTTTGACACGTAGTGACACAAGGTAGACAGATTGGATGATGCGGGCTTGTCGAGGTTCTCCGGCGACTTGGGCGGGCGGAAGCCGCGGTCATGACCGCCTTTGCGGTACAGAGTGCCCACCGGGTTCGAGAATGCTTCGTCTACAATGACCGAGAGGACCATATTTCTATGTAAGAGCCTATGGATAGGTACGGGTTAGTCAGGGCCACACTTGACATCCTAGAGGTCTACAAATCATGTCAAACTACCCCATCCGAGCCATCAGGAGATGGATGGTATTCCGAATCACCTAGGGTATCGTACGCTCTTCATTGTCACGCCGCTGATGGTATATACAGCATTATTGAAGACATCAACAAGGAATATAACAATATCAGAGAACCAAAGCAGAAATAAAGCAAATCAAAGTTAGACACACACACACACACACACACACACACACACACGAACACACACACGCAGCCTCAAGGACCAAGGCCCTGACGCACGATAGGAGGAAGCTCCTCCATCATCCACTCCTCGAGTTCGGGGTTAAAAAAGCCAAAACCGCAATAGCTCAAATCCACCTTCACATTGTCGTTGTCGTCAATGATTATCTTTCATAGTCACATCATATACAAGTTCTCCTGCTGCAGGCGCCCGGTCGCATCGAATGCATCCCAGCGGATATCTGCAGTGTAGCGAATCCAACCCAATCGGAATGCAGCAGCGAGGTTGATACTTGCAGAACCATGCTTCATCCAGGCCGTTTCAACGAAAGGACAAGGCTTGACGCCCCGCGATACATTAGCCAGGGCGGCCGTTGCGCATCGCGTGGTCCGCCTTGTTGCGAATTCAGTGCGACTCGTCGCGGATAAGAGCAACAATCATGCTGTAGAGGTAGAAGAAGAACATGATCAGGTGGAAGCCCAGCTTGATGAAGGATTCCTATAGTTGTAAGATGGTTAGCGAGCACTTCGCCAAGAATGTGTGACGTAAAGCCGATGGGCGAGGCAAACCGACCTTCTTGTGCACGTTGAGCTTGCGGAAGATCTCGGTCGCATCCAATAAGTGCTGGTTCTCGTAGATCCTGTGGCAGGGGAAATGTGGTTAGCGAACATGTCAAAAGACCCGTTGCGCCTGCGAGGGCGGTGGTTGTAAGAGTAACGCACTTCTTGGCATTGAACGCCAACAGAGGCAAGTTGAGTACAATAGCGACCCAGTAGCCATTGATGACGAAGAGGATGGTAAGGAATGCATGGACAGCAGCTTCGGGGATAATATAAGCGTTGAGACGGTTGCAGAGGTCAATCGGGTTAATGTAGTCGCTGTAGAAGAAGAGTCAAGTTAGCTGTCGCTCTTCGAATAGATTCCGTCGCGATGCATTCGCCGAAGCAGTCAGATCACAAGCCCCGGCTTGGGTTGTTGCCAGTCAAAATGTGCAAGGGATTCAGTTCCTACCATTCCAAGTCGCTGTACATAATCGTGAAGAAGACTTGAAGAAATAAGTTGACGGCGTTGATCAACACCGCCAACAGATAGAGCCAGGCTTCACCGGACATGGTGGGCAAGAATATGGGGCTGGGAGAAAGTTATTGAAGACCGCAAGAGCAAAGACTCAAAAGAATAGAGTAAGAGACGTGCTGAAAAGCAATAGAGGCCGACGGTAAGCGCTATTACGAGAGGAAGACCAAAGGAAGAGAGGAGAAAAGAGTAGTAGTAGGGGAGGGTGGAGGATGCGAGCAGGTGATGAAGTTCATAAGTGAGTCGGTTGTGGATTCGCCCCGATAGGGAAAAGCCGCGAAGGGAAGCTGGCCAAGGCGGTGAACCGGTCTGGGGAAACCGTCACCGCTTATGGCATCCTCAGCATGTCGCCCGCCCGGACTGACGTACGGACTGACGTACCAGTCAGTATACTACGACTGCGAGCCTGAGGAGCAGAGAGAACTGTAGCTCAATTTTGATGAGAGGAAACTGTGTCCTTCTGCAGTCTAATCCAAGCGACCTTATTCTCAGTCAGTTCTTCCACATCTACACCACCTGTTGGGTCCGACCCCATCTCAATATTCACGTGCAAACTAGCCTGCCATGATGCTTGCTGACTGCCAATGACGTGGGGGGAACACGTGCTTCGTTCCGCAAAGGGATGGCTTGCTACAGGGTTGATCGGGATCAAATGAATGACCATTCGTCTATATACAATATACTGGTCATTGACAGCTTGGAATTCTTGGTTTCGAAAACAAATTGAGAACAGACGAAAGAGAGAAAGGGTCGCAAAGAAGAGGTCTCATCAACGTATTCCATCATACAAAGTACATAGCGTAAGAAAGTCCTAGAACCAAAGGCTCCAAATAATACGCGAACGTATCAAGGCCACACCTAGGGTTTCGCTCAAATGAGATAGATATACTACTATCACCGTTTCTCAACAAGCAGGATATGCATCGCGCCATATGCAATCACAATGAAGGCGCCGGAGATGACGGCCAGCCCGATAACATCCTTCCACAAGGCGAGGGTATCAAACCCAAAAGCACTCAGAATCGAGGCGCCCGGGACTTCTATATCCAATCCATACTTGTGATCGATCAAGGTCAAATACGTCACTTCATTGACAATCAATGCCTCAAAGCCGTAATGGAAAATAGATAGCTAGACGAGCGGTCAGCAGAGTACAATGAGGAAATACTTATGGATTGGTGGCAAACTTACCGTTTGTAGCCACAGAGCAGACTTGGGAATCGCGTCGTGGTTGAGCAAAAGACCAGCAAACAGGAGGCTGAACAACATCACAAGACTTCCGATCAGGTTGGCCACTCCTCCGTCACGGAAGATGATACCAATGAAAAGACAAATGTTGGCGGCAGCAAGGTTAAAGAGCACCAGCACCAGAATGAACCGGAAGAACTCGCCCCAGGCTGGAATCAGACCCGTCATTGGGTACACAATCATTCCCATAATGATTGGGGGCAGAAGTCGGAGAGGTACGATGTCGAACACCACTTTAGCCGCAAAATAGGTAATCGGGTGGTAATAGCCATTGGCTCTCTCACGCACGAAAAGAAGTCGCTCCGACGAGAAGACGGTCAGACTGGTAAGGGTACTGAAACCGAATAATGCCAGGATGAAAAAGAAAAGACCCAGTCGGTTCTGGAAGCCCTTGATGTCGTCAGTCAGTCCATAGAAGAGGTAACCGCACAGGACAGCAAGCAGAATGGAGATCGCATAATGGGTAAGCATCAACATCGGATTGCGGTACAGATTCCTCCAGGTCCGCTGTGAGAGAATCAAGAACTGGCGGAAGAGGCCAATCCGAGCATAGCCCTTAGAAGTTGCAACGTGAGGAGCAGACAGAGCTTCCGGGTTGGCAAATCCGTTGGCCGCCCGAGCATTCTGGACGGCGGCCACAATCTCGTCATGCACAGAACGGGCAATATCCGACGAGATGTAATTTGAGACCAGGATATCAAGATCTGTCTGGCCTGGAGCGACAGGTGGCAAATGATCTGGTTCTTCGGGAGTCTGGTTCGGTATAATAGCAGGTTGACGGGAGAGACGAAGCCATTGCTGAGTGTTGTCCGCCACATCATCCAATTGCACATCCTCTTCATCCGTTTTGGGTGTAGAAGGTGTCTCAGGATCCTTTTTCCGTGAGTAAAGTTGCCTGTCCTGTCGTTGTTTGAGCGACACCCGCCGTTGACTCTTAGGCCGTCGGTTCGCTTCCAGGGTGCTGCTAGAATTATCCTCCAAGCTTACGTTTGAGGCGCTTGCGACGGATTTAACAGCTCTCAAACTGCTCGAAGCTGTCTTCGGTGGATCCATACGCGCATTCAACAAAGGAGATCCGACTTCGTCACTGTAAGAGCGAGAAACACTGGCGTGCATCGTCAGATCAACCAGGTAATCAGCGATATTGAAGCCCGGAGGGCAAGAGTATCCCGCCTGGTCAAAGTATTGTTGACATGTCGAGAATGGGCCAGAATATACAGTTTTTCCTTTAGCCAGAAGAATAAGTCGATCGAATAGAGCCACGATGTTAGATCTCGGCTGATGGATGGTGAAAATGACAGTCCGGTTGTACGTCTTTGCCAGAGTGACCAGGCATTCCACAACATTGAAAGCATTGAACGCGTCCTAATTGAGCAAATAAGCGAATGCTGCATGCATCGGGGCTCCACACCTTACCAGTCCACTAGTGGGTTCATCCAGAAAGAGTATACTGGGGCTTGTGACAAGCTCGCAAGCGATTCCTACTCGTCGCTTTTCACCGCCAGAGATGCCTCGGCCTTTACCTTCCTCGGACCCGATCAATTGGTCTTTAATGTGTGAGATTCCAAGCTGCTTCTCGACCTCAAATACTCGTTGTTCCTTTGCAGCTCGACTCATGTCCCGAGGAAGCCGCAGCAACGCACTAGTCAGGATGGTCTCATGCACGGTCAAAGTAGGAAGCATGGTGTCCTCTTGGTCGACAAAGCCAATCATAGACTTGAAATCATGGTCACTGATTTTCTCTCCATTGATATAGAATTCACCACGGACCGTGCCTCTCTTGTTCTTCCTAGCAAGGATGTCGAGGAATGTGGTCTTGCCTGCTCCTGAAGCACCCATGATAGCCGTGATTTGACCGGGTTGAGATGCACCCTGAATCCCACTGAGGATTTCCCTCCCGTTAAGATAGTATGAGACATTGTCCCAGTACAGGGCTGCTGGCTTGTGCTCGGCTAGGAGTTTGGCCGCCTCATCATCCGAGTCGTCGGAGAGGGGCAATTGTATTCGGCCATAAGATCTGCGTGACAAGTACCATACTGCTAAGATCACGGCCACGACAAAGAGAGCACATCCTGCAATGACGCCAGCAATGAGAGGAGTGTTGATCTGTTTGACAGGGCGGGTATATCCGGGGACATCTGTCCTATACAAACACTCTCCTGAGTTGCAGTTCAGCGTGATACTCTTGTCGCCAAAGACTGCCTTAATCAAGTCATCCATGGCCGGCTCCTGGAACTTGCTTCCATCGTCGGGACTACCCCCCACGGTTGAGACGGCCGAGAACGATGCCGGACCTGCGATTGATTCTCGGAGGAAGTCGCCAATGTCAATGGATCCCTCCTCGCCACACAGCATGCGTCCAGGAATACACTCGCAGTGGATGTTTTCGCACGTGTAGTGAGTCTTGTTTTGGTTGTGAGTCGTCTCCAGTCCCCACTGACACGTATCCAGGCCGCAGTAGAAGGATTCTACCTTGCCAACCCAGAACTGAAAGTTGCACGTGTTGTCCTCCGCCTCGCAGGAGAATGTAACCTGAGGCTTGCGATCCTTTAATTGGTCAAGAATCTTGCGGTTCGTCACATCGCACATCTGGAAATTCTCCTTGACAGTAACACCTTGCTTGTAGCAGACGCCGCCTTCTCCTTCTGGCATCATGGCATTACAAGCATCGTCCGTTTGACAGACGTTGCAATTGAGACCTTCCCAGCCATCCTTACATGCGCACTGTCCATCCTTCGCGGGAGACCTCTGGTGGCCATCGGCCAACGATCCACACAACGGCTGTGCACAATCATCGCCTCCGAAACCGGGCGGACAGACACATTTCCCTGTAAACCTATCGCATGATGCAAACTGGGCGCATTGGAAGGCGTCTAGTTGACAATTGAAGCACGGAGGGCACCCGTCCGGTCGATCGCTGAAGGTGGAGAAGAGCGGAGGTATTAGCTCGGCTTCGGAGTAGTTGCTCCGCGCTGCAACAGCAGATGCAGATAACGAGAGCCCGAAGGCCAGAGAAAGGTGTAGTATTGAGGGAAGCCTCATCTTGAGCTAGAAAGAAAGCAAATGTGTCAGCGACGGTGTACCCAGAGAGGAAGCGAGATTGCTGGTGAATATCGGTTGGGGTGCGCACCGGAGAAAGGGCCAATGCGGAGTAAGTGACGAGCAACGCCGAAGTAATCAAGAAGCCAAGTGGTGCATCGGGCTTCCCTAACAGAAGAAGACTACCAACAGGCTGGGCAAGAAAGAAATGTACCAGGAAGAAGGACCGAAATTGCTTGTGTGGATGGAAATGAGAGGCACAACAAAAACAAGCAAAGAGGCGGTAAGTTGATGAAGGCGAGAGAGAGATGAGGAGGTCGGTCGGAGGTTGGAAGGGAAACCGGTTGGGGCGATGACGAGGGCGGAGATGCGCTAATGGAAGCCATGGCCTGACAGCCTGGGGCACCAATGATAGCTCTCGGGAACCTACGTAGCACTGCCAGCCTGGAGCAGGTACACAGGTACCAGGAACTGTCTTCCAAGGTTGTCTGGAGTCCCTTCTCGATCAATGCATTCTTGATTCTTTATTGAAACTAGTATCGCGATACTTACTTCGATTGTGAATTCAAAATTGCATTGTGTGAGGTCAAATTCCTGTCGAATCTTACCTTTCCTTTTGTACCTGTCTTCCGATAATATACTTCGCTACCGTGGTTTACATCCAGATTGCTGCTGAACAATCATCATCTGTCAGGTACCCCAAGAAGCGTCATAAAGTCTTTATGAATATTGTCATGCCATGTTTCCCCATAAGAATAGCGATATTCCATCAGGAACGATCTTCGAGGGATTGTGAGTCGGCCAATTTGTTCGTGCGCGCCCCTCCCCGGGAAACTGTACATTGGGGACCGAAGACACGCATAGACCCGAGGGCTAAGTCGCTGACACACGCCCCCCGCATTAGGCACGCTGCTCATACCGCGACTACGAGGGTCTAGTGGTCAACAATCTGAAGCCTAGTATCACCTTCAACGTGACTGATCTATGTCGCACCCTCCAGTCTATGGCCCAGCTTGGTCTACCGATCACTCGCTGGCTACAGAATGGTCGCCTTGGCTTGACTCTGCTCGAGGGTGGTGGCGAAAGCCTACTCCAACGGCTAACAGTGCTCTTATTATTATACCGAGGTTCACTAAAGGCCAAGGATAAATATGACTATTGTTGCTGTCATGCTAAGCGACTCCAAGCTTCAGAGACCCACAGCCGGTGGATTGGAAATACAACTGGAGGTCCCGGGGGGGCTCCACAAAGCTATTCATGGCTGCCATGCTAACGCGATCTCGTTGTTCGAGATGCCTTTGGTGACAGGGTCATTTACGAACAAGGGTTATTGTTCGAAGCTGGTTAGTGTCCATGCACAGCACACTCGAGTAACATTCAGAACGCCTAAATTGCTTGGCCATGTGAAACCTAGGCTGAAGTAGCGGACATACCGTAACTGTATTAACTCCTCTTGTCATATTCCCTCGGGGAAAAAGTGGTCGATACTGAATAAGCAGAAGGCGGCAAGGCGAGGTGCACGATAACCGTGTCTGATTTGTATGAGTATCATCAAATCGAGATAGTATGAGATCCAGTGGAGGCGATCATTTGATGGGATCGGTGATGTACTGTATGTAGGTGGGTAAGTTACCGAGTTAGTGGTGGGGCCTCCCCAACTTAATTCCCCATACATACCGGAGAAGTTCATTCAATGCATAACTTACTCTGCATAGTCTTCCAGGCCGAGGTATGAACCGGTATGATGTCTGACGTTCATTGTTCTGCCCCGTTTGAACCATGAGCTTTCTGAAGAATGGATACTCACCCACCACCCCTCTTTTCCTCCTTTCACTCCTTCAATATTCTCATTGCCCCCGTCCCCTGACACTTTCTTCTGGCTTCTGTGCCGTTGGAGTGTCGTGCGAGATTTGAGGTCCTCTTCCCCCCCACCCCCCACCCCTCCTCCATTCGGCCATCTCAACTCCCCAGAGCCCTCGTCACTTGTCTAGTGGCTCGGTAACATGCTCGAGATTCCTGGTGATTATGCTAGAAGACTGAAATGTATCTGATTTCAGATAGCTGACTTAGCTAGACGTCCCTCTGTCTCTTGCCGGGCCGGCGGTGGTCACTACCCTCGCTTATTTGAATGCGAAGTACTCGCTCTTCTATGATCGCATATTGATCAAAGTTCTTCTCAAGATTGCCCTCAATCTCCGGTCGGGCGAGCGTCGCGATAAAGTCAACTTATTCTACAAGCTCGAAGACCAGGCCTTTAACCCTAAAACAAAGGACCGGCAGTTTCTTGTCTACAACGGCCACACCTGGACTTTCCGAGAAACTTATACTACGGCATTGCAGTATGGTGCCTGGCTCAAGAATGTACATGGCGTCAAAGCCAGGGAGGTTGTGGCCATGGACTTCATGAACTCGTCAACCTTCATCTTCATCTGGCTTGGTCTGTGGAGCATCGGCGCCATCCCCGCTTTTATCAATTACAACCTATCGGGGAAGCCTTTGACGCATTCCATCTTGACCTCATCCGCAAGGTTGTTGCTGGTGGATGAGGAGCTGCGCGCCCAGATCCCTCCTGAACAGCTTGAGAACCTCGCCTCTCCAGAGTTTCGAGAAGGCAAAGAATCTGTGGATGTGGTTTTCTTCACACCTGAAGTAGAATCGCAGATCCTACAAATGGAGCCCATTCGAGAGGACGACAAAGTCCGTGATGGCATCAGGATGCGGGACACAGCGTTGCTTATCTATACAAGTGGGACTACTGGCCTTCCCAAGCCTGCTATAATCGGCTGGAGAAAAGCTTGGAGCTCGGGTATCATGATCACGAACTGGCTCGGTCTTCATAGCACGGACCGATATTATACAGTAGGGTATCCCTTTCGCCTTGAGAGTGATTGCTGACTTGAGGCAGTCCATGCCATTATACCACTCATCGGCCTCTCTGCTGGCTGTCATGCCGTGTCTCTGGGCTGGCTGCACTGCCCTTATTGGTCGCAAATTCTCTGCGCGCAACTTTTGGCAAGAGGTACGGGAAAGTGATGCGACAATCATCCAATACGTGGGTGAGACCTTGCGATACCTCCTTGCTGTGCCGCCTGCTCTCGACCCGGTCACTGAGGAGGATTTGGACAAGAAGCATAAACTTCGCCTGGCAGTGGGCAACGGCCTCCGTCCAGACATCTGGAATCGAGTGAAGCAGCGCTTCAATATCCCTACCATCGCCGAGTTTTACGCATCTACTGAGGGTACCTCCGGGTCATGGAATCTTTCTTCGAACGATTTCACCGCCGGGGCTATTGGTCGGAACGGAGGGTTCACTGGATGGATTCTCCGGCGCAGCGTAGTGGTTGTCAAGATTGATGAAGTCTCGCAGCAGCTCTGGCGCGACCCGAAGACTGGCTTCTGCAAAGCGATGCCTCGAGGTGAGCCTGGAGAATTGCTGTGGGCGGTGGACCCCACGGACCCCAAGGAGACCTTCACCGGATATTTCAACAACTCCAAGGCCTCGGATAGCAAGCTCGTTCGGGATGTTCTGCGCAAGGGCGACGCCTATTTTCGGACTGGCGACCTAGTTCGATGGGACAAAGAGGGCCGATGGTACTTCAACGACCGTTTGGGCGATACGTACCGCTGGAAGAGCGAGAACGTATCGACTGCCGAGGTGTCCGAAGTGCTCGGTGGCCATGCAGACGTGCATGAAGCGAATGTTTACGGGGTGGCGCTTCCTCACCACGATGGCCGGGCTGGTTGTGCGACGATTCTTCTTCAACAGCAGACTCGCGCGGAGGATTCCACCACTCTGATTCCTCCTTCCCAGGACACACTGAGCAGCTTGTCGGCGCATGTCTTGAAGAACTTGCCGCGTTATGCCGCCCCGCAGTTTCTGCGCATCACGCGGGCTATGCAGACGACCGGGAACAACAAGCAGCAGAAGCATGTTTTGCAATCGCAAGGAGTGGATCCATCACTGGTTGCTGCAGACGACCGATTGTACTGGCTGCAGGGCAGTCAATACATTCCATTTGAGCGAAATGACTGGAGTCGATTGCAGGCTGGGCAGGTAAAGCTGTGAGGGTGGATGACAGGATATGTGTTGGGCACATTCTGTGGATTTTCCAAAGTACAGTACATATCAAGGTATACCATGTCTATAGCATCTGCATATTTTCAAACAGTGTTCAAACAGTGGGCTTACTGAGCTGAACGGGAATTTAGTCGAGATGCCGAAGGGATCCACTGAGTGGGGTCCTCTCGGAAGATGGCTGGCTTCTCGAGGCTATCTGACCTGGGGTGGACTAAGGCGCTGGTGCGGTGCTTATATGCTGCAAACATTCACGAGAAGAACGTACATACAGCCAGACATTCAAGACGATGGTTAATTCTAGTTCGCTCAATTCAAAACTTACTAGAGTGGTCGCGTTATCTTGATTGCCTATCTGGCCTTTGTACCCAGGTCAAACGCTGATCTCGAGCATATCGGCTACTCGGAAAGTGCCCGGTCTCGGAAAGACCCATTGAGACCGAGGTATAAAATGGCTCTCCCCGCGGAATCCAGTTGGAGATCTCTCCACCTGCTCCCCATTACTCATTCTTTCTTCCACAACATCAAAAGCACTCAACCCCAAGACTTACTCAGTTTCCACCATGTCCTTCTCCATGACAAGATGTCCCTCGCTCCGATACCTTCAGATCAGCAACTGCCTCGATAAAGCAAGACCCAGCCGCCAATTCTCCATCCACCACCCTCTCCGCACGGAATCCAACACCTCCACCTCCACCTCCGCATCCGCCATTGCAACAGCCTTCCTCTCGCGCTTCCAATCCCTCGGCCCACAAACCCGCACGCAAGTCCTCGACGCCAACCAACTCCAGCTCCTTTCGCTCACTCTCAACCGGCCCTCTCTCTTCCCGGACTCGCCATCCCTGTCCAACGCCTCCACGCCGCTCCCCACGGGCACCCCACTCCCGGCCGGCTACCACCTCGTCTACTTCACCCCGGCATTCCTCGA